TCTCCTGTGCAAAACATTCATTTACTTGTTCAACAATGTCAATAAAGAAAAGTAACAGAAACCTTTATTGAAAGATAACAAAAAAAATGGGCCATATGATTAAAGCAAATTTTAAAAGTGCCTTTGCATTGAGGTAGAGTAGTGTAAGACAGAAAGATGGGACAAATAATACTTCCGTTTGCTACTTATAAGCCAAAGGACTATCTACAAGACTAAGTATCCACCACTTTGATGACTTATTATGGCTTAAGGATCAAGTATACTACGTGAATAGTTAGGCAGTGAGAGAATTAGCAACATCCAAATTAGCATACACCTCTGCTTAAATTAGATGACCTTCTATGTCCATGATGACATGGAACAAATCCTTGTTTCCAAAAGCTGAATGACAGGTTCACAATTCTCTATTGAAAATTATTTTAAAAATTAAATATGGAAGTCATACTTTTTAAATATAATGAAATTAACACAGAAGGTAATGAGTCCAAGACACTGATTGTCTGTTGGACTCATTACCTTCTGTGTTAATTTCATTATATTTAAAACAAATACATTTAGGTTTTACAAAAATTAAAGTCCTGCTTATAGAAGTAAATGAAAACAATTATCATTCCAACAGATAAAAGATTGTTAAGAAACATTAACAACATTAACATAAGATTATTAACCAATAAATAGCTATAGTATTAAATGGGGATGAATCAACCAAACACCTGCCTTTGCCACCCCATGGGATCAAGATGATTTAAACAGTAAAAACTTGGGTCAAACTCATGGGAAGATTTTGAATCTTAAAATATAATATTTTTCATGTTTGCATAAAGATAAACCTTTTACCTTTGAATTCTAACATTTAAAGATTCAAATAATTAAAATAGCATAAGAACACTTCAAATATGAAAAAGAAATGTAAATATAGTATTTTAAAATGTGAATTTAAAAATCTAAAAACAAAGATCAAGCACATTTATCTTAAAATCCTACATGTGAACAAATGTAGCCTTTTACGATTATAAAAAATACTATACATAAATAAAAACAAAATTTATTTAGTGTATTTTTAAAAAAATCATATTAAGACAACTTTCACAATAAGGCCTTTCTTCTGCCCTCACTGAAAAACATCTGAGATTTCAAATTTCTATCACAAAATTACCACAAAGGTAACTTTAAATTACCTTTTCCATTAGCATTGCCTCTACTGTTCAAGGAAATAAGCATCGTTTTCTTTGTATTAATAGCAACTGCATGGAAAAAACCTCCAAAGGTATACAAAGATTATCTCTCTAAGTGTCATATTTGTCATCGTTTTTATCCGACATACTTCTTAACTCTCTATAATACTCCTATGTCATCAGGTTTAGGTGTCTATTAAATTCTCCATGCCACTCCATCCATGTGGTAGATTCTAGCCAGACGGAGAAAATGAATGCAGTTAAGCACACATCCTCTATTTTATGAAACTTTATGTCTTTATAAATGAACATATTTTGGGTATAGAATGAAAGGTCATTTCTCTTTTAGCATATCCAGGAATTATTTCTTTGACCAATAGCAAAAAAATCACATTAAAATATTAACATTCTATTTTTCCCATTAAATAAAGTAATTCTCTCATTAAAAGGAAATATTATAAACCTATATAGATATATCTACCTAGGTTTTAAATACTTTTGCTATACTCCACAAATCAATGTTAGATAAATAATGATAAAATATAAGCAGACTAAGAATTTAAAACTGTAATCAAGCCATGGATTTATCTGGGAAACAGATTTCTTAGTTAAAACGATGAACACTAAGTAGATGATGAGAAGCCTTCACTTTCCAATTATAACAATTTTATACAAGGGCTTAAAATGTCAGAAATTAGTATGTTCAAGCAATACTTAGCATTTTAACACAAAAAGATAGTATATAATAAGAATGAAAAAATATAACTTTGATTCTAATATTAGCAAAGAGCCTCTTTTTAATCAAATAAAATAATCAAATATTTAGACATAATTTTTTTTTCATGTTAGTGGTTTAAATATCAGAACCAAGAGAAGTAGTAAAGATTTTCTGTTGTTGTTATTTAAGATTCAAAACAATGCTTCAGACAAACCAACTTTATAAAGAGTTCTATCATTTCAAAAATACTTTACTTTGGAAAAACTACATTTTGAAAAGAACTTTATTTCTTTTATTTCCCAAACATAGAGTATAGCTCATTTTCAATTCATATGCAATAAAAGCAGTATTTCCCTATTCAGGCACAGTAGGTTTAATTTTGTTCCAAAAGCAGGAAGGCATTAAATAATAAGTATTTCAGAAGTTAGTTGTGCTATTTCTAGAATCAATACTATGATAATGATTGTAAAAACATTTTGCAAGCAGAGCAAAGTAAAACTTAACCTATAGAAAGGGTTCAGGACATGCTACCCCAAAATATGGCATCTTGGCAGATGAGAAAACAGCAGAATCAGGAAGTTATCTCGGGTCTTTGCTTGTCCTTCTCCCTTGAAGCAAGTTGTAACAATTCTCTGACCTCTTTCCAAAATAACCTATGAGACCATCATTCTAGAAGTGTCTACCCTATAACTAGAGGAAAGGGATCTCTGAAGACACAGGGGCACAGAAAAGAAAATAGACAGGCAAGAACAAAGTTCCCCCAGCTTATTACCATTAGATCATACCAGCTTTGTCCAATCATGATTATATACAATTTTTTTTTGCCAAACTTTAGCATAAAAATAAGTTTCCCTGTTTCTTTGGGTGTTCATTGTAGGGCTATATCACATAAAAATTACTATAAATGAATCTGTATGCTATTCTTATTAATTTATCTTTTTATAAATTGCCTCAGCCTTGAAACTTGTGGTGGATATGAGGAAAAAGTATTACTTTTTCTATTCTACAACTCTCAACCTCATATTCTTACATAAATAAGTATTCAGATAAGAGTATATCAATTTAGAGTACACAAGGTACAAATATTCAAACAATGATTTATTACTGAATATGTTGGAAATGTATTACAGCGAGTCTCAGATAAACACATTAAAATCTCATAATTCAAAATGAATGAGCACAACATTTCAATCACTGGGTATAGACAAAGTTTTTCCTTAAAGATTTCTTTAGTCTTTAGAAGAATGTGATTTACAAAAAGACTTCATATATTACACAAAACAATTTGTATTTGCTATACAAATACCTACAAATTAGCTTTTGTCAATGATCAGATGACTGTGTTGGTTTGTATCTGTGTCTTCCATTCTGTTCCATTGGTTTGTGTGTATGGTTTTTTTAATTTTTTTTTTTTAGTTGTAGATGGACACAATACCTTTATTTTATTTAATTTTTATATGGTGCTGAGGGTCAAACCCAGTGTGTCACATGTGCAAAGCAATCACTCTACCACTGAGCTACAACCCCAGCCCTGTGTGAATGTTTTTGTGCCAGTACCATGCAGTTTTTGTTACTATCGCTCTGTAGTACAATTTGAAGGTGGATATTGTGATGCCTCCTGCTTTGCTTTTTTGGCTTAGAACTACTTTGGCTATTCTGGGTCTTTTATTCTTCCAAATGATTTTAAGATTGTTTTTTTCTTATTCTGTGAAGAATGTCATTGGTATTTGATGGAGATTTCATTGAATCTGTCGATTGCTTTTGTAATGTAGCCTTTTCGATAATAGTAATTCTGCCAATCCATGAATAGTGGGAGGACTTTTCATCTTCTAGTGTCTTTAATTTTTTTCTTCAGTGTTTTATAATTTTCATGAGGTCTTTCACTGCCTTGGTAGGATGGATGGATGGATTGATTGATTGATTGATTGATTTTGAAGCTACTGTGAATAAAACTGCTTTCCTAATTTCTTTTTCAACAAATTCGGTATTGGTGTGTAGGAAAGCTATTGATTTTTGCCTGTTGAGTTTCCTATCCTGACATCACCAGCTTTTTATAAGTCTCTTGTGACTCAGTTACAATGTCAGTCAGCTCTATGTCCTTTTCTCCCTCCTTTCCCTTTGCCTTTTTCCATTCCTTTTTCTTTTTCCTTTTACACTCTGCCATTTTATAACTATAGAACTTAGGATAATATGTTTAATTCTCTGGGGACAAATGCATGGAGTACTGCATACATGCCTACATTAAGGGCGGCTAAGTGGCAGGCCACTCCCCTCATGCTAGGCGTGTGAGCAGCAAACAGCTTACCCATAGGCACAGCCCTGGGCATGAGACCACAGTGTTGTAGTCCCTGCGCTTGCTCCATGGCCCATTCCTCAATTGGTCGCTGCAAGGACAGTTAGCAAAAAATTGTATTGGTGGCTGCCTGTAATCTGCCTAGCTACTGCCCAAGTATATATACATGGTAACTGCAATAAAATCAGATCTGCTCCCCGCCGCCAAAAAAAAACGTACAAACTATACCTATATATCATTTGCTTAATAACATAAATTCTATTTCAATTGCAACAGGGAAGATGTTTTTAACAAAAATTCTCCCAGGTATACTGAAAAGATGTCCCTGAATAGTTTATTCCAATGCATTGAAAAAGTAATTTATTTTTCTCAAGAATTTACATGTTTTCCTCAAATTAGCTAATTTCTGAACTCAATTCCCAACTCTTTACAAACAAGATACGTAAAGGAGTTTCACTTTAATTTAAAAGCAAGTTAAAAAGTGTCAATAAATTAGCATTCACATAGTATCTTAGACTAATATACCTAGCTTGAATACCAGGCTAACAATCCTTATAATGTCAATCATTTTACCTAATAAATAGTATTTAGAATAATATTTCTGGTGTAATGTGTTGAACCATATTTATTTGATATGTATTTTTCTTTATATATTTTATATAAATATCTGTGTTTATTACAGTGATAAAGAGTCAAAATACTGTCATCAATAGACTGTACATTAAAGAATTTGAAAAATCAACATATTTTAAAGAAAAATCTACACAGAAACAGAAAACTGAAAACAATATTTATGTTAAAACAAAATACTCACGTAGATGCCCAACCCATCAAAGGATTTTCCCATCGTTCCCTGGTATCAAACTCCATCCTCCATTTCTTTGTGTTGTTTACTCCAGACTGCATGTTATTTCGAGCAGGAACAAAGATCCTGACTTTTCTAGTTTTGATATGCTCTTCTGGAACACCAGTTAATGTAGTGATATCCTAAAGAAAAACAAGCAAACAAATATGTTTCTAACAGTCTATATTCCCACTAATGTACTTTTGTTGTCCCCTATAATCATGCAATTCTATTCAGAGTTATTTATAAAATGAGATAAACTTTCTTGCTTATTTCACTACTATTCGGATATTTTACTACATAAACTGCCATTCTGATAACTGTAAATGGTGTATTTGAGAGGTGGTTTTAGGGAACAGTGGGAAAGGAATCATTAAACAAAATTTAAATCCCTTTGTCCAACAAAGCTTTGGTACTTCCTCATGCCCCCCAAGCACTCCCCACCACCTCCCCCACCCCAAGCACTCCCCACCACCTCCCCGCCCACATCCCCTCCCCACCCCACCCCACCCCAGCGCTGGGGATCTAATCCAGGGCCTCCTGCACAGCAGGCAAGTGCTGTACCATTGAGCTATACCTTCAGTACAACACTGAAAATTTCTGGAATCTACCTATAAAACCTGTAGTCAATATGCTCTTATTTTGCAAGCAGGTTCAACAGGTCAGACAAGGAAAAAATGTAAGTGGATATTAAAAGTAAAAGGATAGGAAAATAGACAATTGTAAGCAGAAAAAAAATCTTATTACCAGTGGTTTCTGTGTCAAATTGCTTAAAAGACACTCCCTTCAGAGGGAGGACTGAGCCTTTTTGTAAACAAAAAAAATCAAATAACAACTTTAATTGGCAATTTATCTCTCTAATGAAACCTACTGAAAGACTAGTAAAGCAAATCTAACCCATAAAGGTAAATTAAAAAGTTTCACAATTTTTGAAGAAATGGGAAATGAAAACAATAGTAACTTTCTTAACTCCCATTTTCTATTCTTTTATCTAGTAACAAACATTCAACTGGAGCATGCATAGAATTCTGATGCTACAGATTAGATATATTTGTCAAAACATAGTAGCAATCAGAACACCAAATAATAAATTCAGAGTTAAAATCTCCAGTTAATAAAGGCAAAAACTTTATTCTAGCAAAGTAAAATCATATTAGGGTTAACCATATCACTGTTTATAAGTATGCCATTTTAAAATCATTAAACCAAAGGGTAGAATTCAGTGGGAGAGCGATTTGCCTAGCATTTGCTAGAGTTCCAAAATAAATCCTCAGTGCCACCAAAAAAAAAAAAAAAAAAAAAAAATCACTACAGTAAATTTTCATTTTTTTTCTAGTTAAAACCAAGAAAGTTAGCAAGAAAATGATGTTATCAAACCTGTAAGTACTAGAAAACTTAACCCATTTTGTGAATTTTCATTTCTTTATCATATATCCCCTAAAAAAGCTAATGTCTATTTGCAGTTCTAATCTATCAGTGCTATGAATTAGCATAAATACTTGGTGCTGCAATATGTACTGGGAAAACACTAAGCACATTTCTGAATTGAGTAGCTTCTCTATCCACAAGATTAAAAAAACAATTCTTTAAATTTATTTCAGTTAGCAACCAATCCCTGCTTAACATAGTATTTTTCCAATTACACCAATTAGGTGTGGCTACTTTGTCACAACTTGTTTTGTTTAAAGAAATGATCCATCAAATATCAAAATGATCCATATAAATATTTAAACAAATATGCTCTCCTAATACATACCTACGTTATTTTTTATGTTTCTTTATATCTAGGATAAAGACAAGAGAATTTGTACATAATTTAAAAATATAAATACATTTTAATTGATCATTTTTAATTGTCAGGTTAAATTTCAAATAAAAGCAATTTTAAGTATTACTACATTTTAATGACCTTCTATAGCATAGTCCTCTAGTCAGGAGTGTGAAGTGACTCAGCTCCTGGGAAGTCCTCAATGCTTATTTCTCCTTTGGGTTCTATAATATTTGCAGTCTGCCCTATTAGTTTATAATTTAATAGGGACATATAAATCTCATGATATATGCTATTTCTTCAACCGTAGCTGAAGCAAGAAATGAACAAATACTGGAAACATGTTATAGAATTTTAAGGTGGGACATCTCCAAATTTCATAGCAACCCGTCCATTCTAAGCTAAGTTCCTAACAGGATCAGTTATCTGATTCTTCTTTAAACTGCCCATATTAAGGAAATGTTAAATTCTTAACACAAGTTGACTCAGGAAAATGAGAATACAGAAAATACTTTTTCTTTATAATTTCTATATTGTTATGCATACATGCCAAAGTAATTTAAAAGCCAATGAAATTTTTTAAAAAATTGAAACAGGTCTTTTGATTTTTACCATATAAAGTAGAAAAGGAAAGAGTGAATTTTAGGATGGAAAAATCTCTTCATTTGACCGCAAATTTGCTAACAAGATGTTTATATTCTGAACTCATCACTACCAATCTTTCACATCTTCTCAAATTATTGCAATGATTTATAGGATATCTTTCCCCCAATTTAAAGTTGGCATTTAAAAGCAAACAAGTTTCTGAATTTTTAAGCCAAAGTCCTGACACAAAATCAATTTTTGCCTGCAGAAGACTGGTAAGGTACTGTAACCCAGTTGAGCTGCTGCCAAAGATGCAGAATAAAAAGGCTTGGCATCTCTAACATACTTGACACCTAAAGGGCATAGAAGCTCTAAAATTCCTAGTCCCTGTAGACACACTCTTAGTCTAGACAAACTGATTTCTCACACTTTTAAAATGCACCAAGACACTCTATTGTTATCATTTCATCCACACAGCTTCAGCTAGTGACAGAAGAACCTGTTTTCTAAGCGACACTTCAATGGGCTAAAGCTCCCACTTCAAGATTCCATTAAAACAATGTAACACTTGAAAGGCACTATGTCCAACTCTACTTGTCTTCCATGGTGTTATCCCTCTAAATTTTCACTGAGCTATCTGTGACTCACACTTTTACAAACAATAAACATATAAAACATCTGCAAATTAAACTATATTGAATTGATATTCTCCATATATTTCTACTTCTATATCCTAATACAAATCACATGAATTTTCTAAAAACCTATTTATAAGAGAAATGCACTAAGGTTGTTATTATTGCCTTTTGTAATTTTTCATCTTACTGGTAACATATTTTAAAATAATAATTCATAAATCTTCTGATTATAAAAACATTAAATCACACAAGGTTTGAGAAGCTTTTGAGCTGGCAAGTAAAAAACCTCAAGACTTACCAGATTATAATTATCTGTATATTACAATGAAGCAGGTTACCCTAGAGATAATACATAGATTTACTGAATGTTAACCTTCAATTTGTAAACAATTGAGTCATGCATGAAATGTACACTTCTACTATTAAAGACTATGTACATAATTTTCGTGCATATATAATTATGCTATTAGGAAGTGGTAGTCAGTTAATCATAATTCCCAAATGAAGGGCATCCAAATCAAAATTTGCTACTGAAAAGATGCATGTCATAATTCCAAAATTCCATTCTTTCAGTACCATCTTTTTCATAATTAAAAATTTTGGAAGAACTAACAGCTGACCTTCCATTTTTGAAGTAAAAGAAAGAGCAATTTGAAAACTCACTAAAATATATGTGTATCATTTTTTTCAAATACCAATTTCCACTATAAAATATTAGTTTTCCATATAAAAACTGTATGATTCGGTTATCAACTGTCTCCATTTATCTTGTGTGAATTCAACTTTTTTTTTTTTTAAACAAAGGAAGCAGGGAACAAGCAATGGGAAGTTGGTGTCAAAATGCAGAAAAACCTCCCAGCAAGCTTCTTGCAACCACCCAGGATTTAGAGTCTTGCTGGCCACTCTCTTTTCAATACCAGAATTTCACACATTTCAATGACTATTATAACTTCAAAGAATCAAATTTTCATCATTGTCCGTCATCTGCCGGTTGATTTGTATAAAGGAGTTCTTCTGCATGCACTCCAAACAAAGGCCTCCTTACTTTTGTGGCTATATATCAAGTTTAAAAGTTTTGTTTGTGACAGTTGTGTCTTTGGTAAATTAGGGTAACACTGAAGGAGTGCAGCTGCTCTGCAGGAACCTCCTTTTTGGCACCATTTCACTTAAATAAAAACTGAATAATTAGCTTCTGCCTTTATTAAACCACAAAAATGCCACTGGCCTTAGTAATTACTTCCGGTTGCCCCACCCACTTAACCTTAATAGTTTACACTAGTCATAAAGAGAAATAAAAGGATTTTGCACTTTGGAATAAAATTTTGCTAGCTTTCTTAGCATACCCAAGGAAGGCAAAATTTTTATCAGGCTTTTGGGAAATAAGTTAACTAAATATTGCATTTAGTATTGATCAATGTTACAGTTTTAACAGAACATATACTGGAACATTAAGTACAAACATTTATTATAGAAACTTACGTCTACTAGAGGCTATTAGTTACCAATCGTGCTCAAATTTATTTGAGTTAAAACTAATCTAAATTTACTGACTTTATTTTTTCCACATTTTTTATTGGTGCATTATATTGTATACAATGTGGGATTCATTGTTACATATTCACATATGTATACAAGATAACATATTTCTTGGCTAATTGATAACTATATTTATATTCTACTTCAACCATGAAAGATGCTAAAAGAAAAACAATTTTAGATCTGTAACAAAAACTTCAAATAACCAGCAGACACTTACAAGGAACTCGTTAAAGGTCTAATAATTAATGACATTTTACAAAATAAGTTTTAAAGTTAAAATATAGTTGATAGCATAATCATACCTATTTACTTACTATGGAAGAACTTCACACACTTCTAAAAAGTTAGTGGCCACAGGGATTCAGATATAATAAAAAATGTTAAGGTAAATTTGAGTTGGGCCAGTAAAACAAAATTTTGCTTGTTAATACAACAAATTGTTGGAATGTGACATCTGTTAAATTTTACACTCTGGGCAAAGGTGTCATGGACTCAGAAATATAGTTTTAAATGGATTATTGTGGAGCATGTAGGAATAGATCATGCAAATGATGCTGCTAATCATATTTTTTTTCTCAAAAAAGAGTTCAAGATGTATTTCAAACTCAAAATA